TACAGCAGCGATTAGCGTCCAACTTGTAACTATCGACAAATGAATACGAAAACCATTCCTGATATTTACCCGTTATCTCGCATTCACGATTTGATAGCTAACATACAAAAAATCAACTACTTTTCCCGAAAATCTATTTGTTCAAAGTGTATAAACGAATTCCCATGGCCACAGACGATATCCGAAAAACCGCTATCATCACTCTATTCGGCTTCTACGAATTTTCGCTCATACTTTCGGCTTAGGAAATACTGAACAATCTCTCCAGTGATTTATTGATAACGTCTTTAGAGGTCACAGCTTCGTACATGCGTATGTTGATGACTGCTTGATCTCAAGTTTGGAAAGAAAATCTCAACTCCAGTATCTATACCTTGTTTTCAAACGACTACAAAAGCACGGCATTACTGTAAACATTCAGAACTGTCTAACTGAAGCCGACTCCCTAGATTTTCCCGGATACATTATTAATACTCAAGGCAGCTGTTCTCAATCGTTCAGAACCGGCTACAATCAAGTAAATATGTACATTTAACGATCAAGTTAGCCGATATCACTCGTCAGATAGTAGTACAGAAGAAACAATACTTCATGTGTTGAACAGTTATATAAGTTAATTGATGGATGGAATGTAGTGGCATTGGACAATAACCACACAATCCACAAAGCTGTGAACACGAGACTACTCAGAAAATAGATATTCAATATTTAACGCGGGAAAATACCTGACAATGGAGAAGGCGCGAACAATGAATTGAATGGACTGGAGTTGATCGAGTGGCATGGCTCGGCCATGCAGGGGTGGTCTCTGCTGAATGTTACCTTATATCTTCTATTCATATTAAATATATTGTTCTTTCTCTAGCCTAACCTTGTTCTACATCATGTATTGGTGATTGATACGATACAGTGAGTTGGTGTAGTCGATGGTGTGACTTCCACGTAAGATCTTATAGATTAGGCAGTTATATCATGACAAATCTACAAATATAGGATTAGGTCTATTATTAGAGCAGTGCTAATATCATAGTAGACCATAGTTCTACAGGAGTACGTTTTGGTAGTTGTATAGGCTGTACACATCAGATTTAACAACGGTTACGTCCCAAAAATGATATATTGCAGCATCGCGTTTGGTAAATCTAAGGGTACTTATCGAGTATTTGTTGGTAGTATGGATCCGTCGTGTGCCTTATTGTGGAAGTGGATAATCTACAACCAAAAATGTTAAACAGATAAATGAGTATTTCCATCTACTTATCTCCGTTTTCCCGTGCCGATTGTAAATTATGATGGTGTAGCAGGTCTAGACCATAGATTGGCGTTAAAACATCTGCAACAACGAAGATCCAGTGGATGGGTTTGCGTAAACTCACATTAAGATAAACTTACCGCTTACCGTATGTGGCTGTTGGTTTTCCGTTTGCCACCTGTAAGTTTGAAATCGGTCCGTGCAATCATTCATTAGAATTCGGTGCAAAACGCTAACTTCTGCGTTAGTGTCGACGAGGAAGCAAACTTTCCTAATAACATCAGTGACGTATAGAAGATGGTTATGTTCACCAGCTACGTTCGCCGTTAACGCGTACCGGCTTGAAAGTACTCCGAAACGTTTTACGTGTCGGAAAAATGCAGGATTTTTTGCAGTTTAGAGAAGATTTTCCACACTGATTATGACACCAGTCGGGGTTATTTGTCTTTCGTGAGATAGGTCAGGAAGACCTCCTTAGAATAGTTTGTGATCCTTTACGGTCATGACGAATACAATGGTGACGTATCAGAGCATGGAAGAGCTCTGTAACGTCGTTCCGTGTCCATTGAGGTTTTTTTTACTGGAAAAGCCCCGGCGCTAGAAGTTTTGGAGATCTCTAGAATCCGGTCGGCAGATGCATTCAGCTCGTCTGCAGCGTTATTTTGAAACGAGTCAAGCACTGCCTGCACCTTAGACAAGAAAAGTCGTCTTAACAGACCATCTTCTTTTGACCGATTACCTCTCTCGTTCGTAACAACATGTCCGTAGTGCCTTCGCTACTGTGAGAAATTTTGCCTGTGGATCGGTCACACCGTGTTCGTAGAAGCAAGATTCTACGTAGCAGAACCAGGCTCTGATGTTGTCAGGTCAGAGTGGCATAAGTTTAAATTAAGGTTTGTGTAAGATTCTTGATCTTAAGTAACTTAGGAATCTGTTCAATCATGATGAATATGAAGTATAGGAATGAACGAAAAAATATCACGACATAAAAATTCAGGTAAATGAATACATATAAAATTACCGAAAGGAACATACAGTTTACAAACAGGTGTACCAGATTATGTCGGGCCCACCACTAAAGATGCCACAAGTATTTGAAGTTTGATAACACCTTAACCAGTAACAACTTCTATAATCAAAACGTACCCACCCAATGAAGTCAGAAGCTAACATGTTCGAAGATATATTCGCTACGTTATCAATATATCGAGAAGTGACTGATCTATACTGGCTGCGAATTTTGATGAAGTTGAGCACACCGTTCAACTTCGTGATCTGGTGAGGATGCGTGATCTAGCGCCTTCAGCAAGGTGAATCCATTAAAACTAATGTGACCACCATCAAATGTCGAAGACTTATAGAGCTATTGATTTTGGGGATTTATTTTCCGCTAAAACGTCTTTATTTTTACCACTATAATAAGTATGCTACATCGACATTTTATGATGAGTTACTTGATTAAATTGAGACATGTGTACCAAAACTAGCATCAGACCTCCTATACTCCAAAAGAATAAGAATAATCTGGAACATAACAAATGACGAGCCACGAAATCACTTTGAGGACTCAAGTTCAATCATTCTGACAAACGTCTTGTAGCGGTAAATAAATCCCCAAAATAAATAGCACTAAGTTTTCGACATTGGATGCTGACCATATGTTTTAGTGGACTCACCTAGCTGAAGGCGCTCGGTCAGTCATCCGCACCAGATCACGTGTGGTAACGCCGTGCTCAACATCAACCGCAATCGCTAGCCAGATTAGATCAGAGAATTCCGATATATTGGTCATCGCCAAATATACTCTTCCGATCTCCTCGACTCTGTCTTTTGATTTCTCTGGGCGGGAACGAAATATATTAGAAGGTGTTACTGGTAGAAGCGTTGTCAAACACTGAATACCTGTGACATCATTATTGGTGAAACCGACGTGATCTGGTACACCTAATTGCAACTGTGAGTCTGTTCCTTTTTGGGATTTTTATATATCATTGCCTTATTTTTTTAACTTTTTTAAACATTGTGATTTTTTTTTCGTGTTTTTTCCTGGATATATATATTTTCCCCTTGTTCATTATCGTACTTCATACTTCATCATGACTGAACAGACACCTAAAGTACTCAAGCTTAAGACTTTGTCCCCGCCTTCGTTTCAACTCATGCCTTTCTGGCCCGACAACATCGAAGCCTGGTTTTGCTACGCAGAAGCCGACTTCTCCGAGCACGGCGTGATCGACACACGTGCACAATTCCTCGCAGTAGTCAAGGCACTACCGCGCGAATTCAACAGGTACGTAACACCTAGTATGTTTACTAGTGATGTTTCCGATCCTTACGAAATCTTAAAACGCTCGATTCTTAAACGAGGAGACCTAACCGATCGACAAAGGTTAGATCAACTCTTCAACAATATCGACCTGCAACATGGTTCTGCGACAGACATGTTGCAACGGATGAGAGAGGTAATAGGCCCAAGAACTTTCGACGAAGGCATATTCAAACAACTCTTCTTGTCAAAACTTCCCCAACAGGTGCAAGCAGTTCTGGTCTCGTTCCAGAACAATGCCTTAGACGAGCTAGCTGCATCTGCCGACCGCATATTAGAAATTACGAAATCTACTACCGAGGTATTTTCAGTCAAAGAAAAACCTCAAACGACTCAGAATGATATAAACGACTTATGTCGCATACTCACGCGTTATCCTAGTCTTCGTACCGACCGTAAGAGATCGCGCACACCACGTAGAAGCATTTCTCGTAAGCGATCTGTCTCTAGACCACGAGAGACAGATAACCCCGACTGGTGCTGGTATCATAACCAGTATGGAAAGCTTTCCAGAAATTGCAGAAAACCCTGCAATTTTCCCAACACGAAACCGACTGATTCGAAAAGCAATTCGGGAAACTTCCAAGCCGGCACGCGTTAACGGCAACCGTAGCCGGCGAACATAGCCGTCTGTTATTCGTCACAGATGTGACAACGAGAGTTCGCTACCTCGTCGACACTGGCGCAGAAGTTAGCGTTCTCCCAGCAAATCCTAACGACCGGCTTCAGGAATCGGCTTTTAACTTACAGGCGGCAAACGGAAAACCTATCGCTACGTATGGCAAAAGGTACGTTTACCTCAACGTGGGTTTACGCAAACCCATCCGCTGGATTTTCGTTGTTGCAGATGTTTCTATGCCAATCATTGGTATGGACCTTCTACAACACCACAATCTGATCATCGACACTCGCAAACGGAGGCTAGTAGACGGAAACACTAATTTGTCCGTTTGCGTAACTTCCTTTACTGGTTGTAGAGTATCCCCAGTCACAGTTAAACATATGATAGACCCACTCTATCAACCACTACTCGATAAGTACCCTGGGATACAACAAACTCAACCGAAACTACCGTGTGTAACCAGCAATGTTACACATCACATCACGACTACAGGACCACCTGTATTCTCTAAAGCACGACGACTAGCTCCGGAAAAGCTAAGGTTAGCGAAAAACGAATTCGATCACATGATGGACTTAGGGATCATACGACCGTCAAGTAACCCATATGCATCTCCGTTGCACATGGTCCCTAAAAAGGACAGCAACGATTGGCGTCCAACTGGTGACTATCGGCGATTGAACGCGAAAACCATTCCCGATCGTTACCCGTTGCCTCACATTCACGATTTGACAGCTACCTTGAAAGGTACAACTGTCTTTTCGAAAATCGACTTGGTTAAAGCGTATAACCAAATCCCTATGGCTACTGACGACATACCGAAAACAGCTATCATAACTCCTTTCGGACTCTATGAATTTTTGCGAATGCCTTTCGGTCTAAGGAATGCTGCTCAAACATTCCAAAGATTCATAGACGACGTTTTTCGAGGTCTCAACTTCGTACACGCGTATGTTGACGACTGTCTAATCGCAAGTCCGGACAGAGAAACACATCTCAAGCATCTGGATCTTGTTTTCGAACGACTACAAAAACATGGCATAACTGTAAACGTTCAGAAATGCCAATTCGGAACCGACTCGTTAGACTTCCTAGGACACACTATCGATGCTCAAGGCATTCGACCTCTTAGGACCAAAGTGGCGGCCATTCTGGATTACCCAGAACCGACCACCGTCAAGCAATTACGCACGTTTAACGGCCTCGTAAGTTTCTATAGACGTTTCATACCGAAATGCGCATTACTTATGAAACCTCTGACCGACCAACTTCGTGGAAATGCGAAATCCATTAATTTGGACGACACCGCACGAAAAGCATTCTCCACAGTTAAGGAACTGATTGCTAAAGCAACAATGCTCGCACATCAGGACACCCGAGCACCCATTAGCATCGCAGTAGACGCATCCGACTCGGCAATCGGAGGAGTCTTACAATAATGGGTTAACAACTCCTGGCAACCCTTGGCATTTTTCTCAAGAAGGTTGCTAGACACCGAATCGAGGTACAGCACATTCGGTAGGGAACTCCTAGCTATGTATTGTGCTATACGGCATTTCCAACACTACATCGAAGGTCGTGAATTCACTCTTTTCACGGACCATAAACCGCTCACTTTCTCGTTAAGCTCTCTTTCTGACAAGTACTCTCCACGTGAGTCTCGACAACTGGACTACATTTCGCAGTTTACTTCAGATATTCAACACATCTCTGGAGCAAACAATGTAGTTGCAGACGCTTTATCTCGCATAACTTCCTTGAACAGTTTCCAAGGAATCGACCTTCTTAAACTCGCCGAGCTTCAAAAAGAAGACAGTGATCTTCAGCACGAGTTATCGTCCACAACACTTAAACTACGCATCAAACAGATGGGAACAGGTAAGGAAACCTTACTTTGTGACACATCTACAGGTAGGGATCGCCCAATCGTGCCGAAACATTATCGACGCAATGTCTTCAACACATTGCACAAACTTTCACATCCAGGTGTTCGTGCAACCATCAAGCTTATTGCAGAAAGGTTTTGCTGGCCTGGAATGAATAAAGACGTGAGGGAGTGGGCACGCTCCTGTGTAAACTGCCAAAAATCTAAGGTTATCAGACACAATAAATGTCCCTTAGGCTCGTTTAAAACTCCCGATGCTCGTTTCGACCATGTTCATCTGGATTTGGTAGGACCTTTACCAGATTCAAATGGATACTCTTATCTCTTAACCTGCGTAGACCGTTTCACTCGATGGCCAGAAGCAGTACCTATCAAGGACATCACTGCTGAAACAGTGGCTCGCACCTTCGTCGAACGATGGGTAGCAAACTTCGGTTGCCCTTCAACCATCACTACAGACCGCGGACGTCAGTTTGAATCCGATCTTTTCCGTCGTCTGACCACACTTTTAGGAATCACTCGATTCCGAACGACCGCCTACCATCCACAAGCAAACGGGTTGGTAGAACGTTTTCACCGACAACTGAAAGCTTCGCTATCAGCTGCAAACGTTTCACAGTGGACCGACGCTCTTCCACTCGTCTTACTAGGTATCCGCAATGCAGTGAAAGCTGACATTGGATACACTGCGTCTCAACTCGTTTATGGTACGACACTTCGACTTCCAGGAGAATTCGTGGATCCTTCATCCTCTTCAATGAACATGGATCTAACCTCCTACACGAACAGGCTTACAAACGCAATGCGTTCAGTTAAACCTGCTTCCACTCGACCTCAATCAACTGATGTTTTCGTTCAACCTGACTTACGATATAGTACACACGTTTTCGTTCGTCGAGACTCGCATCGACGACCCTTCGAATCAGCATACGAAGGACCCTTCAAAGTTCTTCAACGTGAATCTAAGTACTATATAGTCGATAAGAACGGAACCAACGATAGCATCAGTATCGATCGCTTAAAAGCAGCGTATTTAGAAGGAAATCCTATCTACGTGGATTTTCCTTCGGTACAATCGAACGACACGACTCCGACACTTATAATACCTCATCCGACAACCAACACACACGATGATACTTCGACAGTATCCGAAAATAAACTTAAAACGACGCGTTCTGGAAGAAGGGTGAGATTTCCAGAACATCTAAACGACTATTGCACGTAAGGCACTTCTCGACATTTTATATTATTTTTAAAAAAAAAACAATTTTAATATGCTTATATATTTTTATTTGTATTTAAAAAAAAAACAAAACAAAAAAACAATTTTTTTAACGCTATTACGTGTTCATGAGTTTATTTTCCATTTTTTTTTCCGCCGACATTGTGCTTTTACGCACATACGAGTGTATTTCGACATGCACTTACATTTTCTTTTTTCTTTTCCAGGACGGCTGGAAAAGAACGATGACGTTTATGAGGATCCGAAATTTTCATTGTACATTTTCTTTTTTTACTATGTTGTACCCCCGTCCCATATAGTAAGGAAAGACGACCAGAGGCTGCTAAATTTAGTAAGCTATCAGAAGAGTGTTTACCAACGACAAACTCGTTGGGTTTAAACTTCTGGCTGGCCACGTCTTAGGGTCGTCACTGCCCCACTAGGGGGGGAGTGATCTGTAGCGGTAAATAAATCCCCAAAATAAATAGCACTAAGTTTTCGACATTGGATGCTGACCATATGTTTTAGTGGACTCACCTAGCTGAAGGCGCTCGGTCAGTCATCCGCACCAGATCACGTGTGGTAACGCCGTGCTCAACATCAACCGCAATCGCTAGCCAGATTAGATCAGAGAATTCCGATATATTGGTCATCGCCAAATATACTCTTCCGATCTCCTCGACTCTGTCTTTTGATTTCTCTGGGCGGGAACGAAATATATTAGAAGGTGTTACTGGTAGAAGCGTTGTCAAACACTGAATACCTGTGACATCAACATTGGTGAAACCGACGTGATCTGGTACACCTAATTGCAACTGTGAGTCTGTTCCTTTTTGGGATTTTTATATATCATTGCCTTATTTTTTTAACTTTTTTAAACATTGTGATTTTTTTTCGTGTTTTTTCCTGGATATATATATTTTCCCCTTGTTCATTATCGTACTTCATACTTCATCATGACTGAACAGACACCTAAAGTACTCAAGCTTAAGACTTTGTCCCCGCCTTCGTTTCAACTGATGCCTTTCTGGCCCGACAACATCGAAGCCTGGTTTTGCTACGCAGAAGCCGACTTCTCCGAGCACGGCGTGATCGACACACGTGCACAATTCCTCGCAGTAGTCAAGGCACTACCGCGCGAATTCAACAGGTACGTAACACCTAGTATGTTTACTAGTGATGTTTCCGATCCTTACGAAATCATAAAACGCTCGATTCTTAAACGAGGAGACCTAACCGATCGACAAAGGTTAGATCAACTCTTCAACAATATCGACCTGCAACATGGTTCTGCGACAGACATGTTGCAACGGATGAGAGAGGTAATAGGCCCAAGAACTTTCGACGAAGGCATATTCAAACAACTCTTCTTGTCAAAACTTCCCCAACAGGTGCAAGCAGTTCTGGTCTCGTTCCAGAACAATGCCTTAGACGAGCTAGCTGCATCTGCCGACCGCATATTAGAAATTACGAAATCTACTACCGAGGTATTTTCAGTCAAAGAAAAACCTCAAACGACTCAGAATGATATAAACGACTTATGTCGCATACTCACGCGTTATCCTAGTCTTCGTACCGACCGTAAGAGATCGCGCACACCACGTAGAAGCATTTCTCGTAAGCGATCTGTCTCTAGACCACGAGAGACAGATAACCCCGACTGGTGCTGGTATCATAACCAGTATGGAAAGCTTTCCAGAAATTGCAGAAAACCCTGCAATTTTCCCAACACGAAACCGACTGATTCGAAAAGCAATTCGGGAAACTTCCAAGCCGGCACGCGTTAACGGCAACCGTAGCCGGCGAACATAGCCGTCTGTTATTCGTCACAGATGTGACAACGAGAGTTCGCTACCTCGTCGACACTGGCGCAGAAGTTAGCGTTCTCCCAGCAAATCCTAACGACCGGCTTCAGGAATCGGCTTTTAACTTACAGGCGGCAAACGGAAAACCTATCGCTACGTATGGCAAAAGGTACGTTTACCTCAACGTGGGTTTACGCAAACCCATCCGCTGGATTTTCGTTGTTGCAGATGTTTCTATGCCAATCATTGGTATGGACCTTCTACAACACCACAATCTGATCATCGACACTCGCAAACGGAGGCTAGTAGACGGAAACACTAATTTGTCCGTTTGCGTAACTTCCTTTACTGGTTGTAGAGTATCCCCAGTCACAGTTAAACATATGATAGACCCACTCTATCAACCACTACTCGATAAGTACCCTGGGATACAACAAACTCAACCGAAACTACCGTGTGTAACCAGCAATGTTACACATCACATCACGACTACAGGACCACCTGTATTCTCTAAAGCACGACGACTAGCTCCGGAAAAGCTAAGGTTAGCGAAAAACGAATTCGATCACATGATGGACTTAGGGATCATACGACCGTCAAGTAACCCATATGCATCTCCGTTGCACATGGTCCCTAAAAAGGACAGCAACGATTGGCGTCCAACTGGTGACTATCGGCGATTGAACGCGAAAACCATTCCCGATCGTTACCCGTTGCCTCACATTCACGATTTGACAGCTACCTTGAAAGGTACAACTGTCTTTTCGAAAATCGACTTGGTTAAAGCGTATAACCAAATCCCTATGGCTACTGACGACATACCGAAAACAGCTATCATAACTCCTTTCGGACTCTATGAATTTTTGCGAATGCCTTTCGGTCTAAGGAATGCTGCTCAAACATTCCAAAGATTCATAGACGACGTTTTTCGAGGTCTCAACTTCGTACACGCGTATGTTGACGACTGTCTAATCGCAAGTCCGGACAGAGAAACACATCTCAAGCATCTGGATCTTGTTTTCGAACGACTACAAAAACATGGCATAACTGTAAACGTTCAGAAATGCCAATTCGGAACCGACTCGTTAGACTTCCTAGGACACACTATCGATGCTCAAGGCATTCGACCTCTTAGGACCAAAGTGGCGGCCATTCTGGATTACCCAGAACCGACCACCGTCAAGCAATTACGCACGTTTAACGGCCTCGTAAGTTTCTATAGACGTTTCATACCGAAATGCGCATTACTTATGAAACCTCTGACCGACCAACTTCGTGGAAATGCGAAATCCATTAATTTGGACGACACCGCACGAAAAGCATTCTCCACAGTTAAGGAACTGATTGCTAAAGCAACAATGCTCGCACATCAGGACACCCGAGCACCCATTAGCATCGCAGTAGACGCATCCGACTCGGCAATCGGAGGAGTCTTACAATAATGGGTTAACAACTCCTGGCAACCCTTGGCATTTTTCTCAAGAAGGTTGCTAGACACCGAATCGAGGTACAGCACATTCGGTAGGG